CGGGTTGTTTCCTCCATTTCAGAACCTGTCAAAATGGGGGGGCCTTTGAAAAGGCCGAAACACAAAAAATGTGGTCTTCGGCGGCCCTTTTGGCTTCCCTTCAAACCCCACCCGCCCCATGGTACCCGAGCTCGAACCTTTCTTTCCTCACGACCCATGTCTCCCCCCTTCCCATTTGGCTGTGGGTCAAACATATGTGCCCAAAATGGATTCCTGGTAAATGGACACATGGACTAAAACCTGCGGTCCAGTTCCTGGTGGTTAAATTTTCACCCATACCCATTTGGGCGTGGCTCAACATGAAACAGGAGGGGCAAACCGCAGGTTTTGGTTTCCATGTTTCCACTTACCAGGGTAACTTGGCGATTCGACCACAAGACCCCATCCCCTAGGTTTCATTTTGAGCCACTTCCCAGTCAGCGCCTTCTTCCAGTCCAAGTGCTGCACCGGCGCCGCGTCCAGCATCGCGCAGGGCTTGGAGCTCTCCAGCCTCCGTAAGCCGCTTCGGGCCGGCTGAAATTTCGCGGATGGCAAGGGCATCGGGTCACGGTTGAAACCATTCGCAAGGGATTCTAAGGTTCCGCTTCGGGTTGGGCTTGGCCGTTTCAAGCCGGAAAAAAAGAAGGGGGGGCACCGCAGGAACCTCCACGGAAATGAGCGCTTCTTTGCGCGCAATTGTTGGATCCTGCGCGATGACATGCGCAGTTCGCGCGACGCAACCAGTTGGTGGCGGTGCTGGTGGTCGCTGTGGTCCCATCCGGATTGCAGATTGTGCGGTCAGGACATCTGTCCGGACATCGCGTCTAAGCTGGAATTATCCTGCAAACAGAACCATGGACTTTTCTTTTTGTTCGGGAGTCGCAAAAAGAAGCCCGCGCCCTTGTTCCTCCAAATTGCCCCACTGCCACATTTGACACGAGGTCAGGGCTTTTGTGAAATAGTATGTTTGCCCCCAATTGTTTCTTTGGGGGTCTGTTTAAGACAGAACCAAAGGGAAAGCATTGGGGGCTCTCCTAGGTTGAGACAACTCCAGGTGGGGAGCGTAACAAAACTACCGTGCAAGATACCCCAAAACACAAGGATGGTGGTCCGGTGGTCAACAGCGCATGAGGCTTGAGGCGGGATCATCCACGATCAACCCATTCTAGGGGGACCTTTAGTACCCCTTATGTTCTATAGACTATAGAACATAGAAGTCATTTGAAGGGCATTCCCAATGCCATCTTCTCTACAACAGTAGATGACGATGAATACTGATGTTAAATCAAGCTGCCGTTTTGGGTCTACGGAAAGAAATCCACAAATGAAACCGACAAATTGAAGGGGTTGATTCCCAGACTTACGACTGTGCAGCTTGGTTAAATGGGAACCTAAAGCCAAACCTGTTTTGGGACACGCCCGCCGTCTACAATTTCCTGCACTTCCTGCAACGCATGATTTGCCCCAAGATCAAAGCGCCTCGGTGTTTCCCACTTTCTCTTCTCCTTACAATCGCTGTCTTAGAATCCCTGTCCAGGTGTTCCTGACCTGAGTCTCTTCACCTTGCCGAGGGGCATCAACTTCTGCGCCAGCTTGCACCACACCCTGTCCAGGCCCCACTCCGCTTTGTCGTGCACGCAGTCCACGCAATCCTTCCTTGGGAAGGAACCCAGCTGATACTTTGGGATAAACACCCCCTTATCAATCCTCAAACTTTAATCCAGGGTCGACGCTACCAAGGGCCCCTGCGTATGGCACAAAACGTCGTCGAACAGCGAGGTAACAAAGCGCCAACCTCAAAAAAACTCTTGAAGTCCCCTTTCCTTAAAGAGGGTGTCCCGGGTATACGAAACTTTTTATCTTCAAAGTTTCATGGACAATTTCGCCTGTTTGACTCTTTCGGAGGAAGCGCATGTTTGACCGGGGCTACCTTGGCCGATTGAAAGATCACACCAAGGATTGGAATAAATTTGTGCATGTGTGTATATATGTATGTATGTATGTATGCATGTATGCACGTATGCATGTAAGCATGTATGCACGTATGCACGTATGCACGTATTCATGTATGCACGTATGCATGCATGCATGTATGCATGTACGCATGTATGTATGTAATGTATGTAATGTTCGTACTGTATGTAATATATTGTGTTGTGTTGTGTTGTGTTGTGTTGTATTGTATTGTATTGTATTGAATGTAATGTAATGTGATGTAATGTGATGTAATGTAATGTAATGTAATGTAATGGTCATGTAAGGTAATGCATGTATGTATGTATGTATGTATGTATGTATAAATGAATGTATGAATGTATGAATGTATGAATGTATGTATGTATGTATGCATGCATGCATGTATGTATGCATGCATGCATGTATGCATGTATGCATGTGTGTGTCTGTATGTATGCATGTATGTATGTGTGTGTGTGTCTGTATGTATGTATGTATGCATGTATGTATGTGTGTATGCATGTATGTATGTATGTATGCATGCCTGCCTGTCTGTCTGTCTGTCTGTCTGTCTGTCTGTCTGTCTGTGTATGTATGTGTGTCTGTCTGTCTGTCTGTATGTATGTATGTATGTATGTGTGTGTATGTATGTGTGTATGTGTGTATGTGTGCATGTATGTATGTATGTATGTATGTATGTATGTATGTATGTATGTATGTATGTATGTATGTATGTATGTATGTATGTATGTATGTATGTATGTATGTGTGTATGTATGTGTGTATGTGTGTATGTATGTATGTATGTATGTATGTATGTATGTATGTATGTATGTATGTATGTATGTGTCTGTGTATGTATGTGTGTATGTATGTATGTATGTATGCATGTGTGTGTGTCTGTATGTATGTATGTATGTATGTATGTATGTATGTATGTATGTATGTATGTATGTATGTATGTATGTATGTATGTATGTATGTATGTATGTATGTATGTATGTATGTATGTATGTATGTATGTATGTATGTATGTATGTATGTATGTATGTATGTATGTATGTATGTATGTATGTATGTATGTATGTATGTATGTATGTATGTATGTATGTATGTATGTATGTATGTATGTATGTATGTATGTATGTATGTATGTATGTATGTATGTATGTATGTATGTATGTATGTATGTATGTATGTATGTATGTATGTATGTATGTATGTATGTATGTATGTATGTATGTATGTATGTATGTATGTATGTATGTATGGTATGTATGTATGTATGTATGTATGTATGTATGTATGTATGTATGTATGTATGTATGTATGTATGTATGTATGTATGTATGTATGTATGTATGTATGTATGTATGTATGTATGTATGTATGTATGTATGTATGTATGTATGTATGTATGTATGTATGTATGTATGTATGTATGTATGTATGTATGTATGTATGTATGTATGTATGTATGTGTCTGTATGTTTGCCTGCATGCATGCATGTATGCATGCATACATGCATGTATACATTACATACAGCATTCCGCCATGACATTCCTGCAATCAGAGGAACGAGCTTGGACACGTCACCTCGAAGGGTCTTTCTGCAGAACAAAAAGGGTCATATTTTGTGGCCCCTGCCCCCTTCTCCCTCCGGGGTCCCAACAAAAGACATCCAACTGGAAGACCAGCAGGGGAACGGGGGGGCCATGCACGCACCCAGTGAGCAGCCCCAGAACTCTACAGTTTGCGCTGGGGTTGCCAGTTGCACTGGCCTCGGAGCCGAACCCCTTAAGTAAAACATCGAATGGCTCCGCTTTTTGCGGATTGTACCTGCCCCCCTCCCTGTTGGGAGTGGATCTGTTTACTTATTGCTCCTCTTTTAATGTCCTACAGGGGTGGATCCGCAAAAGCTGCATCCAAATCTGTTGGCTAAACCGGGAAGACGACTCCCTCAACTAAATTGGCCCATCTGGGAATTCTACGCACATGATACATGAGGCGCTTTTCCCACGTTGACACCCCGGCTCCTAAACGAACATGAATCGGAAGCATCCGGGGGACGACCCTCCCGCCTGAAAGAATCCACCGTGGGATCAGATTTCTCTAAACAACTCCCCGACCCAAAGTAAGGGCTCCCTTCGCCACGAACCCTCGGTTTGAAGGAACCAAAAAAAACTCCTTTCGGCCGCGATGTACACTGAACCTGGAACCCAGTAGTTCAGAGGAACCCCCTTTTGGGTTCCAGGGGAGTTGCTCGCCAACATGTTTCATACGGCCAAGCCGCAGGATCAGCGCCAGAACCTCACAGCTTCAAGTTGTTTTTTGAGCCGACTCCGAGTCCCCTTCATCAGCAAAGCCAAAAGAACAAGCGGCCTGAAACGCTTGAAAAGGGTTGAATCATCCCATGATGACAAAAAACGGAACACCCGCTCCACACATGTTCTATCAAAGCGTGCATTTGCTCTTCTGTCCTTTGCGTCAATTGATACACTCGCATGATAGATAACACAGATTGTCCAAATAGCACGGCTCTTTGTTGTGCCATCTGTGTTCACCCAAGTGCAAACCACAGGCTGAAAACACAGCGATATTGATCTGTTGCATCTGCCCCAGTATCTTCGCGAGCAGGATAGCAAATCGATACACCATGGGTCATCCTAATGCCAACCACGGGGGAGTGTGCCTCTTACTGTCTGCAACCCCACCCCCTCACCTAACTGCTCATGGCACAGAAAGGCAGGATGCCAAGTATCATTGCAAACCCTCACATGGAGGTTTCCCCCGACAACGCTCTGCGGCACAATAGACCGAAATTCGGGGCCTCCCCAAAACACGGACAGAAACCCCACTGTGGACGCACAAAATCCACTTCGCACCACTTGGGACGGACGAAGAAGCCCTATGAATGCTGGGACAAACCACTCATCCCCACCGGCACCTCCCACTGGCCGTTTACGGCTTGGGCCCCGTGCCTTGTTAGACAGAAGCGGCGCCGTCATCTCCACGAAGTCCGTGTGCCGGAGCTTGCACCGGGGGTCCGGCTTCCCCAAGACCTGAGCTCACAGGTTGGCACGCGGCTCGGGCTGCACCCTTTTATTTGTTTTTCATTTTTTTCGCCTGGCATGGACCAATGGAGAACCGCTGGGCCACGTGAAACAAACAAGAGAGCCGTAACCAGGAGAAAGGCCCCTCTGGTTGGTGTGTGGCTCCCTTTCGGAAGAAGACCTGTGCTTTTCTAATCAACTGCCACATCTGAATCCAAGCGAGGGCTATGGATGGAACACGTTCAAGCAGCGGCATGCAGGTAGTCCAGGCAGACGCCATAAAGCAGCGGAAAGAATGCTCGCAAAAAGCACTGCACAATGCACTGCAACTAAACCAGTGCATAAGGGCTAGTGCTGCGCCAGCAAACCAATGGAAGCAAGCTGCGCAAGCAGCCCAACACAAGCAAACCAAGGCAAGTCGCTGCGAAAGCAGTGCGTAAGAAACGCCGTGCAAGCAGAGCCTGCCGTTGCTGTTGCTGCTGTTGTTGCTCTTGCTGTTACTGTTGCTGTTGCTGCTGTTGCTGCTGTTGCTGCTGTTGCTGCTGTTGCTGCTGTTGCTGCTGTTGCTGCTGTTGGTGCTGGTGGTGCTGGTGGTGCTGGTGGTGCTGGTGGTTGGTGCTGGTGGTGCTGGTGGCGCTGGTGGTGCTGGCGCTGGTGGTGCTGGTCGGTGGCGCTGTGTTGCTGGTGGTGGCGGCCGCGGTGGTGGTGGTAGTGCTGCTGTCGCTGCTGCCGCTGCTGTGGCTGCTGTCCCTGCTGTGGCTGCTGTTGCTGCTGCGGCCACGGCTTCTGAGGCTGCTGCGGCTGCGGCTGCTGTTGCTGGTGTTGCTGGTTTTGCTGCTGCTGCCGCTGTTTCTGGTGTTGTTGCTGCTTCTGGTTCTGCTGCTGTTGTTGTTGGGTGGTTGTGTTGGTGAAGGTGCTGGTGCTGGTGCTGGTGCTGGTGCTGGTGCTGGTGCTGGTGCTGTTGCCGTGTCGTTGTTGTTGTTGCTGTTGCTGCTGCTGCTGCTGCTGCTGCCGCTGCTGCTGCTGCTGCTGCTGCTGTTGGCAATAGAAACCTTGCAACAACTGGTTTGTGCAGTTTTCATCTGAAGAGCTGTGCTAATGCCAAAAGCAGCAAGCACCCCATCAATAGATTAAAATAGACACTGTGCTTGATTGAGGTGGAAAGGAGAAGTCCAGATTTGAGCATATTCACAATATGATACCTCTTGGAGCAAAAGCACCGCAAACCGCGAGGGCTCAGACTTTGCTTGAAAAACAACTGCTGAAACAAAAAATATCCCTTGGATTTCCGGAAGAAGAAAAGAAGCGCAAAGCTGAAACAAATGATGCCCCCTGCATGGCTTCGGTTGCCATCCTAGAGCCGGGCGTTGATGCGGCTCTGGTAGTCGCTGGAGTCCCGGCGCACCAGCGAGCCATGGGCGGTGACCTCTTGCATGCCTGCGGCTCGAATCGGCAGACCCAAAATCAAGTGAATCCCGACCATCCCCTCAGAACCATGGGTAAATCAGTGTAAATTGGAGGATTAAACGTTGGAAAAAATCAAATGGCTCTTTGGGTATGTGTTTTTTTGCGGGTTCCCTTGTTTCTCTTGGTTTATTGCCTGATTTGTCACAGCCACGGCTTTGGTTCCATCGCTTTATATGCCTACATTTCATACCAACCTGGCTGGGGGGTCTCCAATCCCGCGATTCCGGGTCCGGGTCCCCGGCTCATGGTGTAGGTCAGCCAGGACTGCGTTCCTGTCGCAGGACCCACTCGCCTCGCCACGTGGCCCTCATGTCTCGCCTCGAGTCTGGACCAGGAAACCCCAGCAGATCGCCATGGGACTTGATCCGAGTCCGCCAAAATCCCACTCCCCCCGCTCCTGCGAAGGTGGGCCCCACGATGAGGGACCCAGAGGCCCTCGCCAGGGAGAAGAGGCTCACCAGGTCCGCGCCTGAAAAGGGCGAAATCTGAGTCCCACCTTACTGAAAGCTCCCAACTACCGGACATGGGCATGGGGCAATGTGAGCATGGAAACGGGGCCGCGAAAAGACGATATCTTCGCGTTCTTGTGGTTGCACACCTCTTCGGTTGCCGGCCGAGGGACCTTCTGTAGGACCCTTCTCACAAGGCCCTGGCTTTCTCTGTTGGGCGAAGAGCTCGGAACTTCGCTTTTTTTGTGGTTTTAGTTCTGTTCAGCTTCAGTGGGGCGATGCAAATAGTACAGTTTTGCAGACACACACACACACACCATGGGCAGTCAGGGGAGAGCCTCGCTGTGTTTTACGAGCCCCACAAAGCAAAGGGCTTTCAGCAAAAGACGAAGGAACGCAACTTTCCAGCCTCGATTGTCCACTTCAAGGCTTTTGCACAGGTAGGCTTTAGGTCACCCAAAAAGCCAATCCAATGGCCCCCTTAACCCCTAGTTGACTGAGAAATGGTCACGAGTGGAAGTTCTTGCCGGTCTGCAGAAACAACCCGTCGACGCAGCCTGTAAAGTCGATGTCGCTGTCCAGGGCCCAGATATACCTGCAAGTCTGGTGGATTGTGCGGATGGATGCGACATGCAACATTTGGCGGCGCACAAAGTACTGCGGAGCCGAAAGTCAATAGAATGGTCAGGGAATCTCCACCCAAGCTCTCGGTTGTCGGGATTTAAAAGGACTTTCTTCGAGCCAGTGTCTGTTTTTGTGCTTTGAGTACAGGAAAGAAAAACAAAAACAAAAAAACACGCGAGGAGAAGTGCTTCCAGGCCACCTGTCTTTCGGCCTGTGTCCTGTCTTCACTTTTGTGGATGCAATAGCTTTGTCTTTGGTGTTCATTTTGCTTTTTAAGTGGAAGTAGACCCAGAAATACACAGAAAGTATGTCCACCAATTCACTGTGCTTTGCCACCCCTCCAAGTCTGGAGATGTGTTCAGCACTCCCTGTAGGAAACTGAGTAATCCTTGAAATCCGCCGCCAAACACATGCTTTGAGACATCCTCACTCAAAGGCCTTCCATGGAAATTCTCGGTATATCGCAGGTCCAATCCTTTGGGTTCCTTCGGTTGGCCAGCTAAAGTCCTGCAAACCCACAAAAAGAACATCGACAGGGAGACGCGGCACCAGAATTTCCGCCCTGAGAGGTCCAAATTGGGCCCCACGGAACACAGTGAGCCAACGATCCACAAGCTCGACCAGGAAAACGCGTGTTTTTTGCCCTTTCTCTTCGACTCGCGTCTTTACATCGATGGGGTCTGTAGGATTTCCACCTCAGACCCCGGGTTTTGCCGCTGCCTCTCTGTTGGGCCATTTAAAGTCCAAGAAAATCCAGCAAAGCGGCGCGACAGATCTGCAGCCTTATGCAAGCAGCCATACGAGCCCGGTTTCCTCCTTGAGACGCCTTGGAAACCTGCTTCATGGTGACTGGTGCATGCAGCATGGCCTCTTAGGTGGGTGTGCTGTGTGCCTTGTTTGGGTACCCTTTTCTGGTTTGGTTTGAAAGGAGCCCAAAAGGAAATCACCATTTCCGGAGGCCTTGACACATACCCGAGTCACTCTCTGCGCTCCAAGGCTCTCACTCAAGCAAACTAGGCAGAAAATGGATGCCATCCGGTGGCGAGAACCACGCCGCCCCTCTCTGTAGAAACAAGATGGTCATTCTGCTTTCTATATGTTTGCCTCCGAGTCTCCTCTGTGCGTCTCTTGGGATTCAGCAATAAAGGAATGGGCATAGCTTCTCACGGTTAACCCTCATCAGAAAATGGCTCTTTGCATTTCACTTTGGTTTTATTTATGTTTCTTAATGTTTAAATATGTTGGTGTCCTATTCCCACATTCTTTTTCTTTCTTGGTTTCTGCCCTTTGGGGTTGGGTCCCTTGTCAACAAATGTGAGAGGAAAAGAATGAAGGTGAGAGACTTCTCATAAAGTAAACGACATGAAGATGGAAGTAAATTAGATAGAGAATCCTGCATTCGTGTCTGGCACAGCTTTTAACATATCATCTTGGCATAAGAAATACCGTTCAGGTACTGCAAAGGAGTTAGGAATCCAAATGCTTCTAACGCACTATCCAGATGTGAGAAAGAAGAGAACCCGGAGGTAGTTGAAGAAGATGTAGATATGGGCACATATGGGTGTAGAAATCTGTACCATGTTGGAAAGAAAACAATACTAGTTGCTAGAAATTCCTGTTGGGATCTTCCAAAGATCGAACATGTCGATTGCAAACCAGACTTGACGGGGGAAGGCATGGCTGTGTGATCCGGAGGCACCCAGCGGTTGCTGCCCTCCGCACCCAATGCCGTGCGGGCAACCGCTTGGCAGAACCTGTCCAGGCGATTTCGAGATGGGAACTCGACTCTCCCACAACTTTCCGGTGAGGAAAAAAAACGAACAGAGGAGCTGCAAGCCCGGGAATTGGCTCCCAGGGCGTGCCGAGATCCTCTGGCTTTTTCTGCCCCGTCTTCTTCTTTGCATGCCTCGGCGCCTTCAAGTGGGAAGCCCAGGCGAAAGGGGAAACCCATTGTGCAGCTTTGAGACAAACCCATAACTTGGGGGTCCAATACTGGGGATAGGCACCAACCATAAAAGCAGCCCCTCATTGCAAGGCTGCAAACACAATCAAACATAAACACACAAAATTGGATGCTTCTCCGGATTAGGGGCCTCTCCAGGTGGTTGGCTTTGGTTTCCCTGTCAATCCCGAAAAAGCACTCCCCATCGGATAGAACCAAATCAAAAACTGCTGAAGTCGGGAGAGTCGTCTCTTGGAAAAGCAGAATGCACACTTCCAAAGGGAAACGTTTGGAACCAGGAGCTCGCAAATTTCGTGCTTCTTGAACTGAAAAATGGACTGGGGCATGTTGAAGCTGCTCTCGGCTTTGTCGGCTGCTCTGCTTTCTACAGCTGGCAAAGCCTTCCGTGTCGACGTATGCGGAGCGGACATGTATGTGGAGACCCTCCCTCCCCCCCAATTACAGCGCACAGCGTTTCAGAAAGGGGCGCGACTTAGTGCAACAATCAAAACTACGGAGTGGTGTGCCGAAAAGTACGCCAAGCTGGAAGCGTATAGTGTAGCCGCTTGAAACTTCATCTATGCGACGCCGACAACTGCAGCTGACTTCTAATGCAAGAAGAGGAAATACGCTTTCTGAATTGTAATGGATGTTAAATGGACATGTGCCAACACCAACCATTGGAATCCAGTGGAAATGAAACCAAAATGGCACTGCCAAGGGACTGGCATTAGCCTTTAATGAATCAAAAGGCCAAAAGATCAAAAGGTGAAATACGTCCAACCAAAGAGCAAAAGCATTGAAACCCCCAAATCGCCAGCATGACTGGCCCCTTTTTGGCACAAGGATGAAGAGTGGCCCTCTCTTTCCAGATGTGTGGGGTAGCCCAACACGTCGCGAAGCACCGAATTACCTGGAAACCGCCTTGCCCTACACCCAGCCGGAGCAAAGCTCGGGGAGCTTTTGCTCAGTCTAGTGATGGATCCTGGGCACCCAAAGGCTCGTGGACAAGAAATACGGAGTACCCGGTCGAGCGGTAAGGCCCGAGGACTTGGGAGCGGAAATGAACGCGACTTGGTGAACGATGCTGAGACTGGAGCTCGAAGGCAACGAGCTCGATGCATCTCTTGCATCGAACCTGCGGACCTGCGGCGGCCTCGAGATCTCCAGACGCGTTGCAGTCAAAACTTCGCCCGAAGCCTCGTTCCGCTGCGGTCTCAGAGGCGGAGGCGAGCTTCCACACGGGCCACACTCTGACGCTCAAGATGTCGCGGATGGGCCAAGGAGGGCATGAAGGGAGGCGGAAAAGATGGAAGTGGTAAGGATGCAGTCCGCCAATTCTTCCTCACAGACATTGGCTGCAAAACAAGAGGGGCGGATTGCTCCTACGAGCACGAACTCGATGGTGACACACGGGCTCGGTGTTCGAGCTGCGGTACCTCACCAGAAGGATTGCCCCGTTTACCCGGTGAAGTCCTCGAAGGTGCTGGACCCAAGGCCTATGCGACGGACGAGGTGAAGAAGCTTGAGGTGGATATGATATGCCAGATATAGCTACTTTCTAGGAGGATCTAGGCGGATCTATGCTGACAAGCCGAGGCCCTGAGATTCGGAAGAATCTCAGCTGAGCTCGCTGAAGGTGAAGACCAAACGAGGGCGCTTGGGTGGAGCGACTCAGAGCCTCAGAGCCTGCGGTGTGTGCAGTACAAGTGGGAGGAGGCCCTCAGCGAAGATCTGGGGGGATTTGAACCGATAGGATGCGCGGGCGAACCCGAAAAGATAGGAGCCCACCAGCATGAGGCATGACGGCACTTTTTGGCACAAGGATGCAAAGTGGCCCTCGTTGTTACATGTGTGTTTGTTTCAGTAAGTTCCACGTGTTTTCTATTCAAACGGCAAAGTATGTCGCCGGGGCCAAGTACATCCGGAAGAACAATACAACTCATGACTCTCAAGAACACACAATCAGATTCAAGATTTTAAGATAGTATTCAAAAAATATGATATGCTCGGCAGGGGCTGCAGGTGGGGGAGGCAATTGAAAGCACAGGTTGTGCATGGTTCCTATGGTACCCTTTTAAACATCGTGCCACACCAAGTTGACAACTGGGAGGTGATGTTGAAAACTACGGGGAAAAAAAAACTGGGGCATTGTTTATTGCCGTCGCATGTTTGCTTCCGTCACCGCGAGTTTGGGTATCGACGTGGGAAGCGCTTGCCCGGGAAGAACAAATCCTCCGTGCTCTGGCACACCTTCGAGCGAACGAATTCATGCAAGTGCACAGCGAAAGTCTGCCGACAGTGTCTCGCGTAATGCAGTCTCCGCCCAGGCTGAAACCGCCCTGAAGCTCTAGTTTAAGTTCCAGCAAAATCTACGCACGCCTTGTGCACGCACGTGCACGTAAGCGTGCGCGCACTTTCACGTGAACGCGCGTGCTCGCGTGGGGGTGGTTGCGTGGGCGAGTACGCAAGTGGACCGGGTGCCCGTGTGTGTGTGTGTGTATGTCGCAAGTACATATTGAAATAAACATATGCATTTGTAAAGATATCTATATATACATACATACTGATGTATGTCGAGATACATGCGTGTGGGTGTGTGCGCGTGTGCGTGTGTGTGTGTGTGTGCGTGTGTTGTTGTTTCGTTCTTTGTTTGTTTGTTTGCTTGCTTGTTTTATTTATTTTGTTGATTGTTTTGCTGGCTTTGATTGTGTTGTTTGTGTTGTTTGTGTTGCTTGTTGTGTTTGTTTTGTTTGCGGTGTTTGTTTCGGTTGCTTTGTTTTGTGTGTTTCGTTTGTTTTGCTTGTTTTGTTTGTTTTGTTTGTTTTGTTTTTTTGTTTGTTTAATTATTTGGGGTTTCTTTGTTTAATTACTTTGTGTTTGTTTGTTTCTTTGTTTGCTTGCTTGCTTGCTTGTTGTGTTTGCTCTGTTTGTTTTGTGGTTTTGCTTGTTTGCTTGTTCGTTTGTTTGTGTCTTTGTGTGTTTGCGTGTTTGTTTGTTTGTTTGGTTGGTTGGTTGGTTGGTTGGTC